CCCGAACTGGTCTCTCTTCGGGGGGCTGCCTCTGTGGCTGCTCAACTTGCTTGCCGCTGGATTCGGGAGCATCTCCACCTTGCTCCCCCTACCGACCTGCTTTATTATTATTATTGTTTTGTACAAAATTTTTCAAGTATCCGCGATAGATGAGCTATTCTATCTCGTCGTGGAGGTTCTTACAACTTTCAGTACTGTGACCGTGATCTTTGTGAAAACTACAATACAAGTTCTTATTTCTTACATTGGGGTCCCCTTTCATCCGGGGTGGCCACTTCACATACAGGGCATCTTTGATTGCCATAAGGATCTCGACCCGCTTTGCGTTCAGGGGTGTATAGTCCGTCCTTTCTGCTGGCGGAGATCGAAAAGGCTGACCTGGCCTTGCCCCTCGAGCTGGGTCTTTTTTCTTCTTGCTATCCCCTTGGATTGAGGACTCAACTTCTCTTTTCCTTTTCTCAGGCACACTCTCATTTTTATGGCCGATCTCCTCCTCCGTCTCTATGAACTGGTCCGCAAGCTTGAGGAACTCGGTTACAGTCTTCGGCCGATTGACAATCACGTGCCACTTGAATTCTTTGTGCGTGATGCCTCTCTTGGCTGCTGTGAGCCGCACTGCGGGGTTTAGGTCGGGTATCTATAAACAAGCGTCATTGAACCGCTTGATGTAACTCCGAATGGACTCCCCTTCCCTTTGGACTATGCCAAGGAGGCTCTCTTGGGTTCTCGAGCACCGCTTGCTGGTGACGAAATGAGAGGTGAAAACTTGTACGAATTGCGTCCAACTCCTTATTGACCCAGGTGCGAGGTTCCTGTACCACGTGCGGGCTACTCCTTTGAAAATTGTTGAGAAGGCCACGCACATGCAGGACTCACTGGCCCTTGCCAAGTGCATCTGCGACTAGAAGGCGTCGACATGGTCATTCGGATCGAACGATCTGTCATACTTGTCCAAGGGAGGAAGTTTGAAGTCCTTCAGCATAAGGACGGCTAGAAGTTCTGGAGACAGGGGGGACGGCACTGAGAGGAGCAGAGTGGCTTTCACTTCGCCTGAGCTTACCTCTTCCTTACCCTTGAGCTCGGGCAGGTTATGAGTGACAGTTCGGCGAGCTCGGCAGTGTCTCCGCTGCTTCACTGGCTCGATGTTAGTGCTGCTCGCTTCTGGATTGCTGCTGATGACTGTGAGCTATAGGACCCTACCTATAATCCGCAGCCAGGACTTCAAACTGGTTCTCAATGAGTGGGATCCTGAACTGCAAAGGCCGAGGTGATGCTGGCCTGGTTGGATGAGATTCTCCCGACCTGACCACATGCTGTGAGGTGGGGGTTGTGGCTTGTCTTTCCTTTACACGGGATGAGACCTGACTCCCAAGAGGGTTCTGACTTCGGGAGGTCTCTCCCCGGCGGGGGGATTGCTCGCTGCGACGGCAGGGCTTGGCCTGCTGTGCAGTGGGGTGTCGAGGAGGGACTTGTTGCTGGTTCTGGGGCAGTGGTGAAAACTGCTGTTGATACTAGTGCTGATAGACTTGGTGCAACACTTGCTGCTGATACAACTGAAACTGTTGAAATTGTTGCATTTGGGCCTGCATAGCTTACATGCAGTGTACCAGGTCTTCAAGCTGGTTTTGGCCGGTCACCGGAGGGATAGAAGGTTCGACGAAGGTTGCTCCTACCGTGGAGGGTAGTGGAGCGTTCACAAGTGCCATTATCTGAGGCACGTTCAGAGTAGGAACTCCGTCTGCAAAGAGGGGGATGATGAACTGTCCAATGCAGACGGTGGGGAGTTGAGGTCGTCCCGGAGGTGTTTTGGTCAGCACTTCGTCCAACGTTGCTGGAGGAAGCCATTGAAGTCTTGTTGAAAGTTGCAGTGTTTGGTGTAGGAAGGCCTTTCGAAGCGGTTCCCATAGACGGCGCCAAATGATGTAGTGCAATCTGGTCACTCCTAGCTAGCAGGACCTCGCTCATAATTGGCAACAGACAACACCTGAGAAGGAGAAGATGAAGGATTCCCGGGGAGCTCGCCCGGCGGGAACACTCCGATGCTTAAGTTAGAACTTGGTGGAAAGCTTAGAGAGTAGTAAAGGAAAACGAGCTAAGAGTGGAGATGCGCACTACTCAATTGCAAAAATTCAATTACCTTTTTCCTTGGGGGTCGGAGTCCTTATATATTAATGCTCTGTCAAATCGGGTGTAACCATCTCTGATTCTCTGCTACAGTTGTTATTCGTCAGGCTGATTTGATTGATGTAGGTATCCGTTGCAGGGTACAGTCCTGTCACTTGAGAGACGTTATGCAGATTTGACGTGTGCGACGCCGCCTGACGTGAGACGTGGGCGCAGTCCTCTAGGCTGGCAGGTGCTGCACCGCCGGACAAGAGACATGCGAACAGACTGACAAGCACGGTCTTGTCGGATAAGAAGTTTCCCGAAGACTCCGGGTTGCTCAATAGCGAGCTGCCTTGTAGCAAGCCATTCTGTTGCGAGTTGTCTTGTGGTGAGCTGTTCTGCTGGGGTTTCAGCGAGCTAATTACGCCAAGTTGTGGCCAAGCTGTCACTTACGTCGAGTCATATCCACGTGTCCCTTGGTTAGGAGGTCGGGTCAAATCACCCTCCATCAAGACTTATTGAGAGCTTTTGCTGTTGTATGGTTTGATGATGCATTCTTCCCTAAAATGTGCATTGCTTTCTTTGGAACATAACCAATTCTTGATTTGGATTCAGGAAGGGCATAACCTTCCCTTTGTAGCCTCAACTGAGTCTTTGTTAAGGTTTGTGAAATTTTCCTTGTGATTATCAGATGGAGATCCCCTAAATTTTTTAGTTCACCTTTGCCACACCCACCCAGAATTCCTAAAGAGCTTTTGGACTTTGGAATCAAACCATCCTTCAAAGTCTTGGATAGATGCGCCGTTACTTACTTCATGCTTGCATGAACTCTTCTTGTGGAGTTTTGGCAACAATTGACTCACCTAATGTAGTAACCGGAAAGACCATGTTACGTACTTTGAAGTTCTTTTAAGTCCACTGTTCAAGGAACTTGTTGAATGCTAGTGCATACTTCTTGGAAGTATGAATTAGGCGAGACTTTGGAACATAACACCACTTGCGTATTGGTTTTGCATTATCCTTACTTCCCTTTTCTATTAAATTTTAATAGGTTTTATTAGGAGTGAACACCATTTGGTTAAAACGGAAACCAAACCAAAAATTTTGGTTTTTTTTTCGGTTTGGATTTTTGGTTAAATTAGTTTTTTGTTTTAGTTTTTAGAATTAGAAATTCGGTTAACCAAATTAACCAAACTTTTTATTATTATATGTAAAATATGATATATAATATGTTACATATAATATAATGAAATTTGATTTCATAATATATATTTTATAATATATAATATATTATATATTATAAAATATATTTAATAGAATATATTGGTTTTAACCACAATAACCAAAAATTTCAGTTTCAATTATTTCGATTTTTTTTTTTAGTTCAATTTTTAAAATTTCAGTTTATTTGGTTAGATTTTTAACTAAATAAACCGAAAGCTCACCCCTAGGCTTTATCTATAAACTATTAAAAATTAGTATTAATAGGATAATTAAAATTAATAATAAAAAGTAACAAACCATTTATAACTTAACCTAACCTGATTAGATATATAAATTTCCAAGCTCAAGCAACTATTTTCTTTTGAGTTAGGCCTAACTGAGATATGAACCAAGCCCACACATTATCAAGGATAATCAGATTCGAAATCTAATTGAGCAACAAACTTTTAGAGTCCAATGATGGCTTTAGTGGATAGGGCCCAAGCTAAACAATCCCTAATAAGCTCAACTTGGAAGTTATATCCATATATGGTAAATATTATTATATAATATTAATATATATAGAATATTAATAATATATTAATATTATTATATAATATATAGATAACAAAATTTATATTAATATATATAGAAATGTTATATATTTTATATACTAGACTAAAATTAAATAAAAATTTTAATTGTAAAAAATCATAGCTTTATAATTAACACAGACAATCCTGTAAGCCTATACAAATATTAATACACTTAAGGTGTGGGTTGGGCTAGGCCAAACAATCTTAAAAACTACTAATACACTATTAACATTTAGCTCGAACTTTTTAATTCTTTGGTTTATCGGGCTACACAATGTGGGTGGCCCATCTCTTATAGTTCTTTTGGCTTCAATACTATCTAAAAGTAGTTAAAAAACCTAAAAATAATGCATGCATGGGTTGCACTTGGTTTGATGACTTTGGTCCAATCTAATTACGAATGTTACAATGTATGCAACTTGGGTCGGTTGGGTCAAGATGGGGATCAATCCAAGCCTAAACCAAAGTCTTAAACCATGAGCTTGGGCTTCAATTAATTTAGTTAATAACAAAAAGTTAACTATATATTAATTTAATTATGACTATAGCCTAATTTTATATATTTACTGATATTTAATTATTTTAAATATTTAAGTGAAATTTACTAAAAATTGAAACATTTAATCGTTAGTAAAGTAGTATAAATAAAATAGAACACTAACAAATAATGTGGAAAAAATAATTATTTTGTTAACCAAATTACTAAATTACTAAAACATTTTTATGATAAATTATTAAAATAAAGATTTAATTATTTTAAACAACATTGCATTTTTTCCTTAGTTATAAGTATTGGTTATTTCACTTTCCTTGATAAATCCCGTGCATTGCACAGGTCCCCGCTAGTACAAATATAGTTAAAAGCTATATTTATTACTTGTAATTTGACAATAAAGCAACTTATCTGTAAAATATTACAATTATATTGTGAGAAAAACAAGTATTTATTGTGGTGAAACAGAAAAATAGGAATTAGACTAGAGGGTCGATTTGGTTTGGGTCTGATGGGTCTTTCTGGTCCATTGACAGCCCTAAGCCCAACATAAGTTAAGGTTTGAACAAATGTCAACCGACACCACCAAGAAGTGCAAAGACTGGGTGACAATAGCATTACTTTGTTTTCTACATTATACGCATTCCAGATTGTTGTACAGCATACATGTATATCCATTTCTCCTGCTAATATAGAAAGGTTCATAATATGAATGAATACATTGGTAACAACATTATTTACCGTCACTGAAACCTTTTGTGGGTGGATTGAGAAAGATTTTACCTGATTCTTGTCTTCAGAAAACTGTACAGATTGAACTTTGACATACAACCCATCTCCATGCTCTCTCTCATCAACGCCTCACATTTACAAAAGCAATACTCATGCTTTGAGGGTACTTATTACCAATTTGCAGTAGTAAACACAGGAAGAACCTTCAATAAAAAACTGTTGAGCACAATACCCATTATTCCTTCCTTAATTGCAAATGCAATTTATATCAACCTTTACCTTTGCCCTGTTTCCATCTTTTCAATTATATTTCCTTTCCCTGCTAATAAATAAGAGCATTAACGGGATTTGACTGAATTTTGACCAGTACCCTTAGCATTTTGGATGGCTTGAGAAAGTTCTGAATACATAATCACAGAGCGCTGTGCAAATTGATTTAGGTTCTCCAGAACACCCACCAAGCTTGATTTAAAATGATCAAAACCTGAATTCCAGTCTTGTGGTGGTGCTTCTCCTGTGGTTCCAACCATTGCTTCACCACTACTACCAACTTTCCAGGATGGTGGGAATGAGTTGTTTGAACTATTTCCTGGGGTTTTCTCTAAATGAGGTAAGAAACGGCTAGTATCTGCTGCTAAGGTTTTTATGGAATCCACAACATCCTTGGTAGGCAGGACTTCTAGTTTATCCAACCAGAAACCACATGTAACATATATTGGTGGACCTTCTTCTCTCAAAGATGGACCTGCGGACCTATTTTTCTTTCTTCGGTTTCTTTGTTGTTGTAATATGCATTTATGGAGCCATCCATTTATGGCCTGCAAATAAGATTTCTGCGCACTGATCCATTTAGTGAATCTTGATGATAGAGAGCTCAGTTCATATTCAAGATGCATGGTAGCTTGCCGATGTGATTCTGACTGCATGGAGACTATGGGGCTCCCACTGTTGTATGCTGCATGGATGACACTGACTTGAAGACTGTGACATTCAAGCATCATTTCCCACATTCGATTTAGCCTGTGATATAAAAGAAGCTTGCCATCAACATGGACAAGAGAAATGATGAAACAGAAAATGAGACTGCACAACATGCATGCGTGCAGACATAAGAACTTTTGTGGAATGTGTTGCTATACTAGTCATCAGAAGGCTAAGCACATAACTCTCTAATCAGGTGCAAGTTTCAGCCCAACAACTTCTTGCCATGTTGAAACGGCAGACCTTTTCACTAAGCATTTTTAAATTATAAGCATGTGAAGAAGCAAATTAGAGTATATACAAGATACACACGTACATGCATGTGTACATGCATTCTATAATATGCAATGCCCTTATGTTCAATCAAGGTTCAAAATTTTGATAAATAGAGCACATATCGGGCGTATCGTATCTTTTAGGCATTGATACACCTATTTCCATGGTTTTTGAAGAAAGCTTTTTCTTAATAATTAAAACACCTAAAAATAAGCCCAAACTCAAATTTTGAAAAAAAAAACTAAAAAAATAAGGAGTGAGGTTCAAAATACCAATACATCCCTTCCGCCATATCAGGGTGTACCGATATTTGAACCTTTTGTTCAATTAATGCTTTAGAAACCTGCACAAAAAATTTATTCAGTTTTCTTTTGCTCCTATCTTGTTTCTGATTCTTTGTCCATTTTATTTCATTTTACTATTATCTTTTTGGGAGTGGGGGTGGGGAGGATTGGATCACCAATAGGTTGACTGGGGCCATCTCATAATCAGAATAGCTCAGGAAAACAATATAAAGAGCAAATATTTGATTTTAGGCCCAGCTAAGCGTTGTGTTATTTGGGTTATTTATTTGTTTTTTATAGTTGTTGTTAGTGTGCTGTTAGCCAAGGATGCTGTTAGCTTGTTCCTTTCTTCCTTTTTTATTAACTTTTTATTAGGGTGTGCCTTAGGGGCATATTTGCAATATCCTACTTTTATGTTAAGTTAATATAAATAAGAACCTGGGCACCGCCAGCAACACTTTTTGACTCTCAATCAGATCTCTCCCTCTCCCCTTCTCTTCTCCTCTCTCTTTTCTTCTCTCTTCTCTCTTCTCTCTCTTTCGAAGAAAGAAAACATGGTATCAGAGCACAATTCTGGGCTATAGGGATCCTTTCTCTCATCTGAATCAAATCCCTTCCCAGTTTTTCTCTTGATCCCTTGGACGTTGAAGACAAAGAAAAACCTAATCGGACTGGTCAGGCCACTTGTTACTGCCTTTTTCGGGTTCTTCCTTGGTCGTAGCACCAAGGAAACCCTAGTAGAAGAGGGCCAATGCTGTGAAGGCCTTTCTTCTCTTTGATTGATGCTGTGAAGACTTCTTTCCTGGGTTTGCACCTCTGTACAAGTGCTGGACAGGGGTGTGTGGTCCCCTTTTTCTCTGTGGTCAATACTGTGAAGGCCTCTTTTCTGGGTTTACACCTTCGTACAGGCACTGGACAGGGGTATGTAGTCCCTTTTTTATCACAGGTATGTGTTGTAGTCAGTTGGTATGGCTCCTTATTAATGGTCAAACTGTTAGTGGACTGTTTTAATGGTCGGACTGTTGCTGGACTGATTACTGGACTGTTTTAATGGCCGAACTGTTGCTGGACTGATTTCAGCAGTATTTTTCTCATTTCAGAAGTAGAGTTTTTTGGGGTTTAGCATTCTGATTGTGACTGTAAAGATAGTATTTGTGTGGGAACTGGTCTGGTGCACTTGTGGTTTTGTTTTCTGTAGTATAGACCCTCCCCCTCAATGGCAAACGATGATTCTGCTTCATCCAGGGATACATCAACCCATAGCAGCTGGTATGGGAGGTGAAAACATGATGTTTTTCGTGCCAATTACCCCTTTAAATGGCCTAAACTACCTGGAGTGGGCTAAAAGTGTAAAACTTTATATAACAGCAAGGGGAAAAGCTGGTTACATAAATGGAAGAGTCAAAGGACCCAAGAGTAGACAGCTGAAGATGATAGGTGGGACTAAGAAAACAGTATGGTGATGTCTTGGCTCCTTACAGCCATGGAACCTGATGTGAAGAAGAACTTTATGTGGGAAGATGGTTTCTCAGCAGTGGGGTTTTGCATTCTTGTTGAGACTAAACCCTACTTATGAACCTTTGAGAGTTCAGATTTTAGGAAGTAAAGAGTTTCCTTCAGTTCAAGAGGTGTATGCCCTTGTTCAATATGAGGAAAGTAGGTGGAGTGTGATGGTTACAACTGAGGGGGAGCAATAGGTAGCATTAGCTACAATGGGTGGTAATAATATGGTAAAGAAAAGTGACTCCAAGAAGGGTGATGATAAGGACAAGTTGTTTTGTACCCACTGCCGGCGCTCAAGACATACACGTGACACAAGTTGGGAGATTCATGGGAAGCCCAAGTGGGCAGTGAAGAACCAAGGACAAGGTAAAGTGCAAGGTCAGAAGAAGCCAAATACAACACATAATGCAACAAATGTGGCAACCCAAGATACTCAGTTTGTTGGTACTACTCAGGACCACTTCACTAGTTCTGACCCCAAGGAAGATTTTGTGAATTCCTTCCAAAATCACTTGGAATCATATGGCAAGGCTTTGCGACATTGGATTGTTCAATTACTGGTACCCCTTCTACTTCATTTGCGTCTACATCAGGTAATATGGCCTCTGCATTCCATGTCACCACTACTATTGATTCCCCTTTGGATCATTGACTCAGGGGCCTCTAACCACATAACCGGTAAGCCAAACCTGTTTCCTATAAATTTACTTTCAATCAATAGTATCACAAACTCTTTAATCTGTAGTGTAACATTTTTTCCTGGTTCATATGTTTTTCAGGATCTAACTTCTGGGAGGACGATTGGCAGAGGAAGCCTAGTGGATGGTTTCTACATTCTTGACAACAAGGCTAGTCTCTCAATGTCATCCCCGGAGTCATATAGTCAGTCAAATAAGAGTCAAATTTTTTTTTTGTGGCATAGTCAGTTAGATCATGTTTCACTTGAAATAATAAAGTCTTTGTTTCCGGTTTTATTTAAGTGACGTTCAGTGTCAGATTTCCAGTGTCAAACATGTCAGTTGAGCAAACAATGTAAAGCAACATTTCATTCAAGTAATAAAAGATCAAGTTTTCCTTTCCATCTTGGGTATTTTGATGTATGGGGGCCTACTATTATAATCTTTGAGGGCGGGTATAAGTACTTTGTAGGAAATTGTGGACCCCACATTAAGTGTATTCGTGTGACACCCAAAGATGTACTTAGATTTAAATTGATTAGGATCAGCTTACTTTAGTTTTATTTTAATCTTATCTTTTATTGCCAGGTAAGCATTAAAGTTCTTTTATAATTAGAAAACTATGTATATAAATTAAGGAGTGGGGCGGCTGTTTTAAACATACCAACCACTCTCTTCTTTCTAATACCTCTCCACGAGTTCTCCCTCTTCATCTCTCTTCTTTTTCTTCTCATCTTCTCTCTTCCTTTCTTTCTTTTCTATTCAAAACCTAAGAGATATTTGTAGTCTTATATGACTACTTGGTATCATAGCAAGATCTAGGGCTTCTCATGTGGTTTTGATCCAGCCGACCACATGAGAATTGCCTAGGGCTGGAAAAATAGAAAGATCAGTTCTTCGGTTGATTCTTTGAGGTTATCTACAACAGCAGTCCAAAGATTGGATAGATCCTTGATAACCAGGAAGAATCAAAGAAGGATAAGAGGATCAAGATCAGTTCTTGATCAAGACTGGTGGCGGCTATCAGAATTTCAAAGGAATTTTGATTCGAGATCATCCTTCAAGACTGGAAGAGACGATCAGAATTTCAGAAGTTCTTACCCTGGTGAGATTTCAATCTCTCTTAAGATTAGCAACGAGCATAACTTGATCTAAGAGGTACGGTCAGAAATTTTTTCTCCTTACTATATTTTCTTTTGGGGTTTAAGAGAAAAAACCCTCGAGATTTAGGATTGTTATTATTTCAGGGAGGTAATCAGATTTGTCTCCCTCGTTTTAAAGTTATTCTTTACTCTCTGGAAGACCCAATAGAGCTGTTTCAACAGGATTGTTACAGCTGAATCAGTTTTTTTTTACTGCTACTAGTTACAGACCCAATAGGCCAACTGGTACAGTAAGTGCCCTTTAATTAACTTCTAAGAATGGAGTTTAAGGGCCAAGGAAAGGGTGTTTTTGGGACTGGTTCAGGTGGCATGACTGAAAACACCTTCCAGATTACAACTGTAAAGTTTGATAGTTCAAACTACTTAGAGTGGGCCCAATCAGCCATGATGGCCATTGGGGGAAGAGGAAAGCTGAACTATTTGTTGGRAGATGTGAAGRAACCAACTAAGGAGGATTCCACTTATGCTAAGTGGATTCAAGAAAATTATTTGGTGATGACATGGTTGTGCAACTCCATGCAGCCACACATCAGACAAGGAGAGAAACAGGTCTGTTTATTTTTCAACCTTAAAATCTCCGTGGCATGAGATTGACCACCTTGAGACAATTGAATGGAAGAGTCAGAAAGATGCACAGACTTATAGAAAGCAAGTTGAAACTAACAGAGTATTTGAGTTCCTGGCTGGCCTAAATTTTGAGTATGATATTGTAAACAACAACCATTGACAAGAGAAAGTGTGACTCTATCTCAAGCTTATTCCCTAGTGCAAAGTGAAGAAACTAGGAGAAAGGTTATGTTACAGCAGCAACCTTTTGAATCTTCCCTGGCAGCAGTTAAACCCAAGCCTAGGGGAGAAGGAAAGGGATATGAAGAAAGAGGCTTAAAAGGACCTAGTTTGTGAACATTGCAAGAAACCTAAACACACTAAACACTTGTTGGAAGCTGCATCCACATCTAGTTCCAGCAAAACTCAGAAACAAAAAGGGGAATGCCAATATGGCTGTCAACACTGATAGTACAGCGTCAATGGCCTCGAGAGGCACTCCTCTAGACATCCTACCTGTTGTCCGAGCTGCTCTGACACAATTGGAAAGTRAARTYAGTAAYTYAGTMTCATCTCCTYRGCCAYCATCA